CCGCCTATGGGTGTGCTAAGTGGAATACTTTAGGTGGGCTTCGTCTGGTTGTGCTTCGTTTGGGTGTGCTTCGTGGAATACCTCTTCAAATCTGTTAGAAACAAAAGATTATTGATATTTCTTTTTAAAAAATATCCCTAAAAATACTTAAATAGTAGAGTTTTATGATACCAACTTAATTGGCAATCAATACCCTTCTAATATAAAAAATAAAAAGTATAAATGCCCTCTCTTTTAACTCCTTATATTTAGTAGGAAGAAATCAATTTTGATATCACCAAAATCTGTAATTTCCTTCGAACTAAAAATAAGCTACCAAAATAACATCTTAGCGCATTTAATATTAAGAAATTGGCCCTGGGACGTAGACGGTGTAGGTAGATACAATATAATGGATGTAGGACTGGAAATTAGATAAAATGACATATTTTTCTTAAAAGTAATAACTTGTCGACATATGAGACTATATGGTACAACATGACTTCACGAGTTAAAATTTCGATAAAGTGAAATAATTTAGTAAAAGTCACATGTATATAAACAGAAAACACTAAAAGCATATAGCATTGTTTAAAAAAATGTTTTTTTTTTCTAGCAAGCTTTGCTCGAGTTTAATAAATCCAAGGCAATGTTTAGAAAATATACAAAATCCTAATTAACATGGATTTGTTTTCAAAATACGTATAATTATGTATGAACAATAAATTATTATTTGTTCAAAGAAACTCCCATATATGTTGAAATGTTTGAAAGCATTCTAATAAAGGTTATGAAAATATTATCTTCAACAGCGCTATGCTTAGAAATGGCGGAGCCCGCTTAAGATTAATTGTCGACGTAAATAAAGGAATTTGTGAAATACTAGGTCTGTCTGTGGGAAGCACCAGATTTTGATAATGGCTAAGAATAAAATTTAATATTTCTATTGTGAATATTCCACTTTTAGCTTTATTCGTTGTTAGGTTTGTGAGTACTTGAAAAATATGAAAAATTTAATTGGATTATCTAAAAGTTATTTGATGATTGCTAGTAAATGTGTTTACAGACGGTTTTTAACATACAACTAATCTAAAAAGGATCATTTATTATTTAGGAAGTAGGTCTAGGTACTAGTGATTTTAATTTTGTTTATACTTAAATATTGGCACACTTGGATAAAGCGTATTTCGTGCTATGTATTGTATAAGTACCAAAAACGATTAAAATTTGTATATGGTTTAAATGATTTATGAAGTGTACATTTAAACACGTTTATTAAAGTGGTGTCGTGGTGGGCCGGAGGTTTATAATGTGACTTTTTCCGAGTTATACATATGTACTTTCTATGATTATTTAGACACCACTGACATACGGTGACGGTATCGTGAGGAAACCTGGACTTTAATTCCTAACTATAAGTTTGAAATCGCCAACCCGCATTGAGCAAGCTTGGTGATTAATGCTCTAACCTTCTCCGTATGAGAAGAGGCTTTTGCTCTTATAGGCTGATGATGATGATGATGATTAAAGTGAGATATGTATGAATGTAAGTAAAGTTACTCAGGTTGTAATCTCAAGCTCGTAACAGCATTCGGTAAACATAACCCTTATGACAAAATAATATTTATTTTTAGCCTAACTTTAAACCGTTGAGTCAGATTTTGTATTTTGAATCTTATTTTCACCTACCTTCAATTTGAAATACAAGGATCAATAGTTTGCACCTAAACCAATAAAAAATCTTGTTTTGTCATAAGGCCGTAAAAATTTGGGAACAATGGAATCGAACTAACCGGAACTGTGAATACGATTTTGAAGAAATTTTGTTAATTTATTTATTTCAGTTTTTGCACAATCATGTCTGTACAGGGTGGATTTAATTGCACAGGCATTCTCTGACAGTCGAACCTTCGGGTGATGTAGAGAGCAGTTGAAGTTGATTGTTGAAATACATGAAAGTATAGTAAGTACGAAGTGTAGGTAGTACAAATGATTGATTCCCGAGAATGGAAAAACCAATAATTTTAACATGCTCATACAAAGTAATGTTTTTGAGGAAATTAAGACTAGAGATTCAAATTTAAATTCTTTAATCCTGAAATTCTAGCTTAAAGGAAATGGAAACTTTTCGTTATTACTTAGAATTTAATCCACACACATGGTTTAAGACCGTATAAAGTAATTATTTAATGATTCATATTCGAACAAATGCTTAAACAAGACGTCATTTGCAAAAGGAAGCTTCTGACGACACATCGTAACTTCTAAGTTCTAAGTCTGGTAATAAATCTACAAATATTATGAGCAAAGCAATAATAATTCTAAATCATGGACCATTAATGTCATATTTGCATAACGCTGCGACTTCTTTGAAATTGTAATTATTGCTATGCTTCAAGTATTTATTTTATTATGGCAGTGGTAGTACAATTCTGTTATAAATTCCTAGCGACCTGCCCCGGCTTCGCACGCGTGTAATACCGGTGCTAAATTTCTCAACTATTTCATGGATGTTATTATACATAGGTACCCTCTTCCTCAAGCACTTTGCGTATAAAAAAAAACCGCATCAAAATCCGAAGCGTAGATTTACAGATTTAAGCGGACATAGTGACAGAAAAAGGGACTTTTTTTACCCGACTGCCAAAGAAGGAGGGTAATGTTTTTCGAGTGTATGTAAGTATGTATGTATGTCTTTTCCTTTGTGACCTCCTGTAGCCTAAACGGCTTGATGGATTTTGATGTATGAGGTATCGTTAGATTTGTCTTGATTACGGGAGTGTCATAGGATACATTTTATCCTAAAAGTCCCACGGGATAAAGACATAATAATATTTTTTCTAAATTTCCCTTTAAAAAATATGTATGCGGTATCATTAGATTCATTTCAATTACGGGAGTAATTAATATAGGATACGTTTTTTCTCAAAATTCCCACGGGAACATGTTAATTCTGCGTAACAACGCAAAGCAACTCATGCGTTAGCAAGCAAAAAGATAGGGCGTGGCCTGGCATACAGCTAAAAAGTTATAAATAAAAAAAATATTATTAAAAAAACAAAATACCCGACTGCACACTAAAAAAAGAGTAAAACAAGCCCCACAATACAAATTTACTGAATATAATTTATAAATGTTGATGGAAAGCATCGCAGGCGGGGACCACCTTGACCGCCACCAACGAAAATTCTGCTAAATGGTGCACAACAGAAATGACTATAAATAAGCCTCTGTTGGTCCCCGCCTGCGATGCTTTCCATCAACATTTATAAATTATATTCAGTAAATTTGTATTGTGGGGCTTGTTTTACTCTTTTTTTAGTGTGCAGTCGGGTATTTTGTTTTTTTAATAATAATTTTTTTTTTTAATGTAATTCGGCAAACGAGCAGACGGATTACCTGATGGTAAGCAAACAGCGCCGCCCATGGACACCCGCAACTGATGATTTATGAGTGCGTTGCCGACCTTTTAGGGATTAGGGATTTGGAGATTTAGGGATTGAGCACGGATTGCGGGCGGGGAAGGATTGGGCCTCCGGTTACCTCACTCACACGGCGAAACACAACGCTGTGGTTGTTTCACGCCGGTCTTCTGTGAGGCCGTGGTATCACTCCGGTCGAGCCGACCCATTCGTGTCGAAGCATGGCTCTCCCACACTTGATGGGACTCTGTTTTATACAATGTAGTGATGATATAATTTATTGTATACTTGCTAAACTTGCACGGTTTCACCCGCTTTTCGGCTCCATAATATTTATATTATATTATAGCACCTATAGCTCTCAGGAACATTGTAGCTATCTATCATTGAAAAAATTTTGGAATCCAACCAGCGGTTCCAAAGATTACTCCCTACATAGAAACTAACAAGCTTAAAAATTTTAGTATAGATAAAGTCTTCAATTTATATTTGGTAATACAAAACAAAAATAAAGACTCCATGACAAATTTTCTTCAAAACTCAACGTGTTTCTACTAAAAAGTATTGAACCTTCTAGCTGTGTCGATGGGGAATGAATATTCTCTTACGTCAGTTTCATTAAAAGTCTCGCTTCATCCGTTCACAAAAGCGTACTGACTCCCATCATATTTTTAATCTTCCATCAGATCAATATGTCTGGCGTTTGCATAGAAAGTATCCTTAATTCATATTGATGCCTTGTATTTGTATGTAAAGACTAAGAGGACCTTTGTTTATAATTTTAAAATTGTAAAAAAACACACTTTAAAAAAATTAAACACCTTTCTATCTGTTAGTCTTCTTTACCAAGAGAGTGAAGAGAAGACTAAATAATACCTCAATTTTTTATGGTATAAGGCGGCAAACGAGCAAACGGGTTACCTGATGGTAAGCAATCGGCGCCGCCCATGGACACCCGCAACACCGAAGGAGTTACGAGTGCGTTGTCAGCTTTTTGGGGATAGGGGTTGCGGATATAAGGATAGGGATAGGGGAAGGGGAGGGATTGGGCCTCCGGTAACCTCACTCACACGGCGAAACACAACGCTGTGGGTTGTTTCACGCCGGTATTCTGTGAGGCCGTGGTATCACTCCGGTCGAGCCGACCCATTCGTGCTGAAGCTTGGCTCTCCCACACTTACTTATTATCAATAAATAAATATTGTCTTTCTAATGATAATTGACAAATTGTATGTACATTATTTTGATACAAAAGTTCAAACTGCAATAACAAGTTGTGTATATAATTTTTGGTTTTTATAATCTGATACAGGTCAACTAAGCAAAAACTAAATAAATAATGTGCCATTAATTGAAAATGTAAAAGAAGGGTAATATGAAATGTGTAACGTGAACTTTTAAGGTTATGATTTTAGTTTTCAAAAGTCGAACAATAACTGCAAAATTTATTTAAGTTAACAAAAAAGAAGTCCATAGTACCTTTGTACATCTTAGGGGGGTCTATAATACCTAACAAGAAAAATAGTCTGAGTGGTATTGTTAACAATATAATTGTTGTAACTAAAATCGTGATTATAATTAGACTTTCCTTTGTTTCAGGGTCTCATAGAAGAAATAAACTTGCACACTGATGCTGATGAGGATACTTTAAAGTTAGTGTGTGAAAAGGTACGTATGATAGTGTTTTGTACAATTGTGTTTTTATGATCCCATAAAGACTGAGTAAACGCATTACCTGATGGTAAGCAAATAGTGAATTCGTTAACACCTGCACCACCACAGGAGTGCGTTATGGGTCTTTTGGAGGCGTGGAGAAATTTGGTCTTCGGCAGCCTCAACACAAGCTTTGTTTCACACCGGTTTCCTGTAAAGCTGTGAGTCAAGTCGAGTCTATAATTTCACGAAGAATGAAGGCTCTCTCACGCGACTGTTACATGCGTGTTTGTTGTAATTTTATTTGTTATTTCATAAACATTTTTTAATATATTTTTTACATTCCAGGCTAGATCAATTTCAGAGATAGTTAGTATATTTAAATATATTCAGAAACCTGTCGCTTACTGCTGCTGTTCTTGTTAAAACTCGTCCTAACTTTTGAATCTTTTTAACGCATTTTTTTTCAAATAATATGTAGTAGATTTTAATGCTACTACCAAAATGCACCATGTGACCTTCAACTGACGATTCTTTTTGCAACAACTATTAATACGTGCAACTTTTATTATATTTAATTATTTGAAATGAATTAATAATAAATTCGTTTCAAATGGTCATCTTACTTTTATAAGCGTTAAAAAGATAACGAGACTGTATCTACTTTTTCCAAATTCAAATTTATTTTCGTTTCGACACTAAAATAAATTTTGGGGTAAATACGTTTTGGTTGTAAATTCTTTTGTAGATAAGTAACTGGTTAGTTTTAGTTAAATAGTGATTTTAGTATCTTTACTTAAATATATGTCATGTATTTATTACAAAAGAAAAAAAAAATACATTACTTAAGTAGCGTATTGGTTTTTACTGCACATTTTTTTCCTTTTGTTATAAGTTCATGATAATTAAGTTTAAGTCAAGATGCTTTTCAGAGCTCCAAAATGTTTAAGAGCAGTGGTAAAAATAAAATGCAACTACTTAACACTATGTAGGGTTCCATAATAATACAAAATTAAAAATAATAAAACTTAACTAAAATCGCGGGTTACTCACGTGTGTAAATTGAGGAAAAGCTCTACTAGTTTCGAACCACAGAGGGGTTCTTACTCATGAGCAGCGTGCGCGGACGCGGCGACGTCGCGCAGCCTACTGAAATCGGTCATTAGAGCTTTCCTAAATTTACAAACGTGAGTAACCCGCGATTTTTTAGTTAATTTATTATGTCTCACAAAAGTGATTATAAAAATAATAAAACTTTTCATGACTACCATAATAATTCTTTAGGTACTAATTATTACTTAAATAATTTAATTATTAATAAAATGTAAAAATTTAGATTAAAATCTAAGTAAACTGTCATTGTTGAATAAATTATAATTATTATTATATTTAACTTCTATTTTCTGTCCTAGATCACATCATACACTGATCCAGTAAGTCTATTACTTATTTGACTTGAACTTTCAGTAGAATTCTTGTAGTGTTTCATATTTTATACATATTGAATGATCGTCAATAATGGCATGTTATTTTCTTTTCCAGTATATTATACCAACTATCAACATTAAAAACTTTTCTATTTTTTCTGCTTTAAAAACATCCCAGAAAATCTTTAAAAAAGAAAATGGGGTTTGAAAATTAAATTGTTTTATTCGTGTTTTTTCGCAAAGAAATTTAGACATATCCTTCTAATTATCTTTCTCTTCAAGGCCGTTTAGATTAAGAATCCTTTTTAAACTTAAACTACTTTATTAGCTTAACAAATACCTCTACCAATGTACAAGTCTAATAATGTACAGTTCATAGATGTCAATCGCGCGCGCGGTCAGCAGTTCCACACTGACCCAAACACTTAGTGTTAATATTAATATTATTGTAAAGTTAGTTAACGTTCGGTCACCAACCAAGCCGCGTTTGCTCATACCATTAACCATTACCATTTTAACCAATATAGGTATCATATTTTACCAGACAAATTTCTACTATTTATTTGTTGGATTTACACCCAACACAATGTGTCCACAACGCGATAGATCCCACCTATTCGTAGGCTCAAAGGACCATTATGTTGGTGACCGAACGTTAACTAACTTTACAATAATATTAATATTAACACTAATTGTTTGGGTCAGTGTGGAACTGCTGATCGCGCGCGCGATTGACATCAATGAACTGTACTTCGTACAATCATCCTCAAACATCTATATAATTCTCTCTTCTTATATATTTCATACTGATTTTTTACTCCGTAATTTTACTTAGCTTTATGACACATAATTAGAGAATCGTGCATCAAAATGAAGTTAGGTTATCTATACCTACATACCTATCAACTGTACATAGCATGTAACTATAGACATATTATTACAAGTAGATTTTTAGATACTAACAAATCGTTAATAACTTTACAGCAAAAATAATGTACAAAAACAATAACGTACTTGTTAATTCCCTTTCAATTTTGAAAGGTAAAACCAATACCAATTATTTATTAATTCCCCTCGATATACCATTTTGCTTTTAGACCTCTTCAAGAGTAATCTTTGGAAGTTATTTGCGCATGTTTCGCCGTCTGCGTAATAATTTAAGTAGACGATAAACCTATGTAGCTAATTTTCAAACAAATGTATCTTGAAGAGCTATAGTCCAGCCATAGTGAAATAAGAAGATCAATTGACAATTTTATATGTTGCTTTGCCTTAACTTTAATCTGTGTAAAATGCACCCGCAAAATGCGACAAATGCATGAAGACTTTACTCAAAGTATGTGCTTCGCAACGTCAATTCATCTTGAACAGAGCCTAGTAATGTTTGTCCCAACAAAAATGGCTAATAATGGTATAACGAGAGAATTCTAAATATTTTTTAAAACATAACAATGTTTCGTTAACTAAATCTGTCAAAATTCTAACACATTTTGTTTGGCTTTTTGATTCCCTTTACTTTAAATGTCTATGTGCTTATTGCAGTGTTTTTGATAAAACTTTTGTATTCTAGAAAATGAATAACCAATAACCCGATTGTCTATTATTTGTGTGCAAAATGTTAATAAGTTTTATCTATATTTTTACAGCTTGGGCCGAGTTTAGTTACTACTGACACAGATATTTCAACAACAGAAGGTGAATGAAGTTAATTCTTTTATACATATAATTAAAATATATGTAATATGCGGATTATTAGTCAATACAACTACGGCACAAGATAAAAAACAAATCATACTATTGTTGATAATAACAAAAAAAAATACTTTCAGATCCACCTGAAAAGGGTGAAAAAGGAGAAAGGGGAGATCAAGGCGAAAGAGGAGCACCAGGTCTTAAAGGAGAAGTAGGTGCACCAGGTATAAAGGGTATCAAAGGTGAAAAGGGAGATAAAGGAGACATCGGTCAGAAAGTAAGTTAGATTTTAAAATTAATTTCACAAAAGGATAAAGTAAAAGATAAATCTAAACAATATTGGAAACTTGCAGGGTGATTTAGGACCCCAAGGACCTCTTGGACCTGTAGGACCTATCGGCAAAAAAGGAGAAGAAGGAGTAAGACACTAGATATTCAACTTTTTAGACACCTCTTATCTGATAGTATCTGAAAGATACACACATGCACAAAATAAAAGATAAAAAATATTAATAATTTACTCGTTTCACTAGGCATGTCAGTGCTCAGAGAAGGTGGTATCAACCCTGCTCCTGTCTATGCCCGAAATGAAAGGACCTGCTGGTGACAGAGGTCCACCAGGATATGATGGTCCAGAAGGACCACCAGGTAAAACTGTAAGTATTTAAGGAAAATTAAGAACAAGAGTATGTAAAATAATTGAACCCATCTATCATAACGTAAAAAAATATTTTCTTATTCAGGGTAACATTGGACCTATGGGTGAAAGAGGACCAATGGGTTTGAAAGGAGAACCTGGAGCCAGAGGGGATGATGGTCTACCAGGTAGAGATGGGGCTGTCGGACCAAAAGGGGAGCCAGGTAAAGATGGCATACCAGGAACACCAGGGGAAAGGGGGCCCAGAGGAGAGCAAGGACCACCGGGTGAAATACGTTTGGTGATTATTGTTCTTTAATTTGATATTTTTTGCATTTAAACGATTACGAAATAGTCTTAAACTAATAAGTATTATTTGCAAATAAAGTAGCAGATACGATATTTTTTAAACTTAAGCAGCCATATTACAGAACAAGGTCTTTCTTTAGTCTAGCTTTAAACCATTAAGTCATTTTTTGTATTTTGAATTGAAGGTAGGTGAGAATAAGATTTAAAATTCAAAACCTGATTAAATGGTTTAAACCTAGACTAAAGATAATTTTTGTGGGGGACACAAAAGTGCTTTACATAACGCAAAGAACTTTAATTTTTTAAAACGTCATTTTCTTCTTTTATACGTTTAGTCTGAGACTTCTATAAAATTCTTTGTTACTATATTGCAAGCAACAATCTTAGAAGTAACTTTGACAGGAAACAGACGAGGAGATAAAGTCAAGAACCGTAGTTATTCCTGGAGAAAAAGGAGATGAAGGGCCTATTGGACCTCCGGGCAAGCAAGGTGAAAAGGGAGACAGGGGAGAAAGGGGTGAAAAAGGGGAACCTGGACCAATAGGTCAAAAAGGAGATCAGGTAAGAAATAAGAACTTCAAAAAAAGAAAGTGAAAAAGAAGTATTGCAATTACCCGACTGAATTAAGATCTAATTATAATGGCGAATCATTATCTATTCAGGTGGTAAAGGATCTAAATCGATCATAGTTAAGTTTGAATAGATTAAATCGAGTCTTTTTTCAAAAAATGATTCATATTTTGCTATTATCGGAATCAAAATATAACATTCAATGACAGATATCTTATATATCGTTATGAACAAAGGATAGAAACTAAAAAATACTCAATCAAAACCTATCCAGGTAAACAAAACGACATCGAAATAAGTTGTCAACAATTTCAGGGCCACAAAGGTCTTCAAGGCCCTAGAGGGGAAAAGGGTGACATAGGTGAGGCAGGAGAGGATGGATTACCTGGCACTCCGGGCACACATGGCAGGCCTGGAGATAGAGGCGAAAAGGGTAAGAATATTGTTTTTTTAAAAATACATTTAATGTTTAGTATACCTACACAAGTTATTAGTTTTACTGCAAATTGATGCGGTGTCAGAATACAAAGAACAGAATAACTCTGTGTCATCTACAAATTGAAGTTCCGGGTCTGGGTGATCTTGTATGTTTGTAAACGCGCCAAAACTAAAGTTTTTATTTTTCTATATTATTTTTTATAACTAGTGTGGGAATTTTAAAATAATGAATTTAAATTATAATTTTTTCGAAGCCCGAAAGGTATAGGCGATGTTTTTATGTATATTATATATTTTATTTTTATATATTTTATATCTCTAAGTGTGGTAGAACTCTCTCTTTTAGGACGAATGATACTACTGCTGCTTAGAAATCCGGCGTGATACAAAGCTTGCGTTACGTTTGTGTATTCTGACAACGCACATGCGACTCCTGGATTTTGCTGGTGTTCATAGACGTAGATGATGTCCGCTCGGTTGCCGACTTAACCCATGCAAAAAAAACAAAGAATCACAATTTTTTCACTTGTTGTTTTAAAGGCATTGGCTCAAGTGCAAATATTAAACTTTTTTCCTCACTTGGTTTGGTCAATGAATCCTTCTGCAATGTAAATCCGCAGTTTCTATACGTTCATGTCGTGAATGCATAAAACCTATTTTGTATTTTAGGTGAAAGAGGTGATAAAGGCGAAAGAGGTAATGACGGACGGCCAGCTTCTCTAACCTCAGTTCTGGATGCTGAAAGTAAGTATTTTTATTCATTTTAATGTAATGCAAAATATGTGTACTTCTCTCCAATGACTTTCAGGACAAAAAGTGATGAAAATATAAAACGTCACGCGGCACGGAATTTCTTTGTAAATTAAATACATGTCCTTTTATTTATTGAAGTAACGGGTGAATGGTGAAATGGTGAACACTCACACACATGGTACATAGTCTAATAAAAAAACATTACATTAAATGCGATTGGTTCTTGTAGTATGAAGACAAATTTTTGAACGAAACAAAACCGGTTATAATTTTCACAACGCTGAAATCGGACTTACATTATTGGATAAAAATTTAGAGAATGACCTCCTTATTTATTCCTATCCTGTCTGGGACGCCTTGTACCAATAATATTTTAATGCTGACTCCTGAATAATTTACATAGCAACAATTTACTCTCTAACTACTGTACTACATTGGTTATTTTATATGCTATTAATTTTTAAACAGGAGCTTATAATTAAAGATTAATATAAATATTCCAAAATGCTTAGCAAATCACATAATTAATAATTGTAATACAGTTTCATAGAGTAGGAAGATATTAGATTCCGCCATCCAAAGAAAAGGTTTCACATAACAACAATTTCCTATTTATTAAGTTATTTTCATTCAACTTCGAAGCATAATACAACCTGCATAAATTTCAATATCAAACAAAGCATTCTGGTCACGTAAATGTAATAATGTAAGTAAATTCAATCCCTAAACATTTTTTTTGCTACTATCGGCTCTATTGGCTTTGATCCTGATTCGACGTTGTGTAGTATTGGTAAGATTTTCTTGCTGTCCCTTTCTATCACAATGGATGTAAAAAAGACGGTATACTAGAATACCATTATAGTACTTTGGTTAACGTTAGGTAAGGTATTGTGATTTCTGGTTAACGTTAATATTTTAAAACCGAACAGCACAATGTTCTTTGTAAATTCAAGCCACGGCTTTATCAAAATAAATTGAATATGGTATAATGCAAAAATTCACAGAAATACCTTTCCAATGAAATACTCAATAATAAAACAAAGGACTACGATCTTTTATTTTCAATAATATATTATGTACGTGAATATAAATGTTATTCCAGATGCGGCGGTGGTGGAAAAATTGAGGGGTAACAAAGGAAATAGGGGAGAAACAGGTGAAAAGGTATTTTTTTAATCCTTTCCCTCATCCCTTCTGTAATCTGAGAATCGTCGCTAACCGACTGCATGATTACCATAGTGGCGTGTCATGGGTTCAATGCCCGCTAGAAACAACCTTTTATTTGATCTACAGATGATTGTTCGGGGTCTGGATGTGATGTGCATGTTTGTATATTCGTTTACATGTTTGTATATTTGTTGAGAAAATTCTAGTGAGCGAGCCTAGTTTTTTAAGGGTAGAAATTTCATATTTTTAAAGTGTATTTACTCTCTAAATGTTTTATAATTAACGTTGTTTTCTTGTAAAGTGAATAAACAAAATTATTTTACGTCGTATGGCTTACTCACGTAATTGTTCCGTGATAGCCAGACCACAACATTTGGAACTCGTGAAAATGGGCCCCTGACTTGACTTGGAAATAGTCAACCTCGTCGAACAGATACGTTCATACGTATCGATTTAAACATTAACTTAATGTTTTGAGTATTTTTTCTAATAAAATGTCCGATAATACCTAGCCGCCATTTTTGGGTAATGATCTCTCACTTAAAAATATTATTCTAGGGTGAAAAAGGTGACCGAGGGGAAACTGGGTTACAAGGACCAAGTGGAAAGGATGGTAAAGATGGCAAAGATGGAAAGAAGGGAGATGTTGGCCCAATGGGCAAGACTGGGCCAAAAGGAACCCAAGGAGAACGAGGTCTACCTGGAGAAGTTCCTGAATCCAAAATAGCTTTGTTAAAGGTATCTTTATGAATTTGTTTTATGCTTAAAGAAGGTTAAGGAGGTCAAACAACAGAAATAACTTGCAGAATTTTCGATTCTACACTATTCTTTGTCAAACTGTCAAAGTCATTTATTACAAATAAACCATTAACACGTACTTTTGAAACGTCAAAATAGAATATAGCCTGGCAGTCAGTTCATCACTAAAGCTAGGTGCTCGTTTTGAAGTGTAGATTTGGATGAAGAAGAAAGAGCAAGAAACTCAGTCTTATTACTTTCTTTACAGGGTTCAAAAGGAGATAGAGGTCACACAGGGCTAAAAGGTCCAGCTGGACCCACTGGTAATAAAGGAGAACCTGGAGAACGAGGTCCAGTTGGTCCTCAAGGACCAGAAGGAGAAGAAGGTGTCCCAGGACCAATAGTAAGATTACACCTTTTTTTATTATCTGCAATTTCTTTTTATCAAGGTCAAAGTCAAAATCATTTGTTCCAACTGAACCATAAACAAGTACTTTTAAAACATCAAAATAGAATAGTAGTTTGGCAGTCTGTTCGTTAGTAAGCTAGGTGCTCGTACCAAAGTATAGATGCAAATGGAGATAACGAGAAAGAAACTCCGACGTTAAAAAAATAGCTTTATAGGTTCACTTACACCTACATTATTTAGTATACATTATTATACCCATACGTGAGAACAGTGCTGAGAACTAATTGTTAAAAAAAGAACAAATGATGGAAACAATTCCTCATTATTAAATTTTTAATCCTTTATCGTCTCCAACATGGCGCTCACATAAGACATACTGACAATATAATTTGAATATTCTGGTTTTATTTAACGAGATTTATTATTGTAGGGACCAATGGGACCTCCAGGTCATAATGGGACTAAAGGACAAAAAGGAGAAAGAGGTGCCAGTGCGCCCCCCATCGATTTGTATAAGGTAAAGTTTCTTCTATACACACACCTTTTCTTTGTATAACTAGATATATATGTATTCACACAAAATCCTCGTAAACCCTTTTTAGTCACACATCAATTTTTCATATAAATTTTCAGCTAAAAGGTGAGAAAGGAGACAGGGGTCTTCCCGGCGATCCTGGCCCTCCTGGGAAGTCTGGATCTGAGGGTCCACCGGGCAAATGTACGGAAGGATCGAATAGACCACCTATACCAGGTCCACCAGGGCCGCCCGGTCCACCTGGACCACAAGGTCTTTCCATTCTGGGTCCTAAAGGAGAACCTGGAATGACGTTGATACAGGAGACGTATCAGTCATTTGTTAAAGCACCAGGTAAGAAAATAACAATAAAATCGAAACAAAGCGAAGTTATAAAAAGTCTGTGTAAAAACATATTTTGTTTTAATATTTGAACGTAAAAAAATTACTGATATTGCAAAATCTCAACACAATGAAAATTTTTCGGTTTACAGGTGACCCAAATGATGAGGATGACTTTTATACACTTAACACTATGGTTTTTAGGACAAAACGAGGTCTTTTGAAGGTAAATCTATTATTTCAAATTATAATATTGTTCAGGAATGGACCAATTGGGTATCCATTAAACGTGACGTTCAGCAATGATTTACAAAAAAAAACTATACTCCATTTTGAGGAGGAAAATCGTCAATTGACTTTACCAGCTCTGGGTGGAGCTAGATGGATGGAGTATCAGAGAAAAACTACACCGTCCCAACTCGTGCTGCGAGCCGGGGCCGCGGTGTCTCGTTGTGTTTGACCGTCAACCCCAGCGGTGTAATAAAATGATCATCTTAAAAATACATTTTCTGATCGTAAACTACATTAACATAAGAAACACAACATATGAAAACAGGGAAACTATTCAAAGCGCAATATTTCTACGTGAACAGTTCCATTACCTTGAACAATAGGTAAATATATGTACATAATTGGTTTCCTTTTGCAGAAAACAGAGGAAACGGAGCTCGGAACGTTAGCGTACGTTTTAAAGGAGAAAATATTGCTTCTCAGAGTTGAAAACGGCTGGCAATATGTTGTGGTAAATAGCGTTATTGATTTTGAATTTCTTATCCTTATACTGTAACCTTTAAGTTTAGTTTGACGTTGTTTGATAGCAATGGTAACATAAAAAGTTAAAGTTTTTTGCGGACAAAATCATGAAAGACTTCTCTTGCCTTAGGTGTGGCGAGATAAAGTGTAAGACTCTTAGTGACTAAAACGAGAGAGAGTGTCAGATTCTTACTGACTCTAAAAACCCCCCGTTCTTTCACCTGCTCTTGGCCGAGGCCGCGGTGACTTATTTCGCTTTACTCGCTACCCTGGCTGAACATCAGACTTTTAGGGCCCCGTCAGTGGTGGTCTACTGGCTCTATGAGGCGCGCGCGGAACGCGCGGTCGGGCGTCGAGCAACTCATTCGTAACAACTTGGGGGTCCAAAAAATCCATCAGCTCGTTTGCCGACCTATCCAATAAAAAAAGGCGTTACTCGAGCCGTTTAAAATTATTGAAAAATTTCTAGATGGCATCCATGTTGGACTCAAAACCGATCCCACCGCCTACGACGACGACGACGACGACTACTACTACAACTGCCAGGCCGACCACCACAACGACTTTTAGACCGACCACTCCATCAACAGCTAGTCCGTTTACAGATCCACTCATTCGACCACCAAAGAGAAGAGGCTATGTAAGTTACATTTGAATAATATTGATCAAAGAATTATAGTTCTTAGTAACCTTTTTATAAGGTTTACTGGTACACATTTTTTTTCTACCGTATACGTATAGGGTGACATTTAATTTGCAAAGGAATCAAGGTTAGTACTTTTTAAAACTAAATTCAACGTTAAATATGCCAAGTTTCCTCAAGATGTTTTCCTTCGCTCTCTGTATGTGGTGTGTAAAAAACTCCTACGTAATATTAAAACTAAAATTAGTGTGTGCCATAGTAAGATCTTAAAAGGTTGTTTCTTTTTCTGTAAATGTGTATATTTAAAATTATTATTTTTCTTCTTAGATCCGAATGGTTGCTCTGAACGATCCTCATACAGGATACATGTTGAGTCATAAAAAAGTTGGACGCGAAGGTGCTGACCAGTTGTGTTACGAACAAGGAAAGATGTTCCGACTAGGGGCAACTTTTAAACCATTTTTGGCTACAAGGCAAGTATTCAACTGTTTATAAAAAAAAAACACTTAACACGTTAACCGCCGCGTAGGTCACCGGTGACCTACGGTAGCGGAGGATTTGCCTTCAATAGTTTTCGGTCGGCAGTCAAAGGCTTAATATATGTAATAAATTTATATGAAAGTTAATTCTACATAAAAGCGAGAAAACTAAACAAACCTTGATACCCATTTATTAATATAAAACTTATTACCTTTTTATTCATACTTGTTTTATCTGTATTTTGTAAGTTATACGTGATACTTATGATTTATGTTAATAAAACTCATTTTTATGTGTTAATTTAATTTTAAAATAATATAATACTTCTCTTTTCTTTAGCGATCAAAACCTCATTAATATAGTAGGAAGGGCTGATTGGAACGCTCCAGTGGTCAACCTTAACAGATCCCTCCTATTTCCCTCCTGGGCGAGCATTTTCTTTGGAAGTGGTGCAGAATTCATCAATCCTGCTACAATCTTCAGTTTTAATGGCAAAAGCGTCATGATCGATTCGCACTGGTACGTACATTTATTTAAAAAACAAATAAGTTTTAGGTAAAACGTATTTTTTTTTAATATCTTTCTTTTACTTTACTTACTACCTTTTAATTATCTTTCAGACTATTTTTAGTAGTTTTTATTTAAATGTAGGTATTTAATGTATAGATGATGATGATCTGAATATATAATTATGTATGATGTGACATCTCTTTTAAATTCCTTAAAAATATTTTTAAAGTCTTTATAATTAAGTTGAATTTTCGTACACGTTTAGTTTGCATGATCACAAGCTTAGCAAAGCTTAGTTCTGAGGCTTGGTGACCAATATAGTTTAATGTAATATTGATTAAAAATATTTTTCATTTTCAGGCCAACAAAAACAGTATGGCACGGTGGCATTAACGACCACTATGGTTCAGCAAATCTGGACGCCAACTGCAACAATTGGAAGAGTGGCTCGAAGCATTATTATGGAGTTGGATCTTCATTAGCCAACAATCGTTTATTAAACCAAGAATTGTGAGTACTACTCCAATATGTTACCTGTTTTTACCCTTTGGTAGAAAAGGTAAAAACAAGGTCTCTTACTAAAACTCCTCTGTCCATTCGTCTCTGTCACTCAAGAACCATGATAGATATACAGTTGAAATGTACATAAATCATATATTTTGTGTTGAAAACTAAAAAATATATAAATATAATTTATACATTATTGAGAGGCTCCATAGAATAAACGTAATATTGATACGATGCCCTTCGTGCGTGACTCTGAATCGTCAGTTTCAATATAGGCAGAAAATACCGAAGTCATAAGTCATAAACTTGTCTCAGCTAACCTTAAAAACAATTAAGATTACCACACTATAAGTTCTTGTCAACTGAATTTGGACCGGTTAGAACCAGATCAGTCTAACATTTTACCGTAATTATCGAAGTAGGTTCGTTTTACCCTCTTAATCATAATGCGTTTAAAATAATGTTTTATTAATTGTTATTTTTTTTTCAGATACACCTGTGATAGTAACTTTATAGTTCTTTGCGTAGAAGTAGAAGCTTTCAAAGGTGATCCATTGAAAGTACGGAGACGGTAAGTAACTGGATTTTTTCCCCCGAAGCTTGTCGATTTTCATTTGTTGCCTACAAAAAAGTCTTCTCATAATTTCCTTTCCTTGCCTGTAAGTTTTTTTTAGGTTCTCTAATGATACACTTGCGATACGAAACTCTTATAAATCTTAAAAAAATGTTACTTAATCTGTAAAGTATCTAAACGTTCTTGTAAATATTTATTAGAAGAAAATGTGTGTAATTAAATTAAAACAAAAATTTTGGTTTAATAATATGAATATCTTTGTTTCAGACACCGTCGAGGTCGGCGGCATAATATAATTTATTAAATTAGTATTTTTAATTTTAAGCATATCACAATAATCTATCTTTTTCTTCAATTTGATTGAATTTCAAATACTTTCACGTTGAATTAAGAGTTATTATTTGAAAAATATTAAATATTAGGAATTAAAAAGAAATTCAATGCTTTAATACTAATTGTATTCATTTATTTATTTATTTTGTACTTTAATATTTTTTATAATTAATTGTAAATAATAGTTAGATAGACGTTTTAAAATGATTTTATAGTAATTATGGAGTATACTCAGATAATGTTGGACAAAATGAAAGCATTTAAATATTGTCAATTTGGCGAAAACGTGGAAGCGGTGCCATATACCACACAGTAAATAATTTTAGTTTTAGAATGTAAAATTAGAGTTTTATGCGAATTTCCCTATAGATATACTGTAATCAAGAGTCTTATTATTTAGGAAATGAAAAAACGAAACACTGCAACCGATTTTCGTGGTGTCGATGTTTTGAATTTATTTGTACGAAACTTAATATTAAGATTTGATTAAAAAAAATCTAATTAAATGTTATAATCCCTAATCTTCAAAAGGTCGGTGACGCACTCATAACTCCTCCGCTGTTGAGGGTGCCCATGGGCGGCGCTGATTGCTTACCATCAGGTAATCCGTTTGCTTATTTCCCGACCGATTACATGAAAAAAAGTTGCACAGCAAATTTAAATCCACAAATTAATTGTATTATTTTAACACTGCCAGTTTTTATGTGAGTTCAATGTTCTAGAAATGTTATAAAATTCGCGAGATACTCATAGATTTCAATATACTTAAACACGACAGAAAGATTTTTGATATTCGATCCGTGATTGGTTAATATCATCACTGGAACTACGAAACAATATACCTACATATATGTATGTGTACAAGATATTGTTAATTTATGTTAGTCACTACGCTAGACCCAATTTCACTCATTAATATATAATAATAACTTTATTAGAACCTCTTTGTTGAATAACAGTTTTTATGAGTAAAACACATAATTATATTAAATTTTTAAAATATTACTTCACGTATCCTGATTAAATTTGCATATTTACCAAATTATATATTACAATAATTATTTATAAATAGGTAGTTGCACCTAAGTAATTTTAAAGTCAATATTTAAACATACCCCCTTATTACAAAAAAAGGTTTATCTTTAGTCCAGGTTTAAACCATTGAGTCGGGTTTTGAATTTTGAATTTTATTGTCATCTACCTTCAATTCGAAATACGAAAACTGGCTCAATGGTTTAGTCCTAGACTAAAGTAAAACCTTGTTTTGTAATAAGGCCGTATGTCAATAAAATTAAAAACGACTCATTTTTTTACTTTTAATTAGACATTTCATGTAAGTTCATACCAAAAGATAAATAAAAGTTTGTGTTTTTGAATGGAAATAATTATTTGAAATGAATTTTTAATTAATGTTATAGATTTTCCGATAACATTATTTATTTAGATAGGTGTTAATCAGTGCCATAAAAGATACGAGTAATATTGACGAAAATGTATAAAAACACTGTTACGAAAATATTGAACCGATACGTAAATAAAAATTGCCTCAATTTTTTGCTTTCATTTTTTCCTTTTGTTTTTCTTTTTTTTTTTTTCAGTATATGATATTGAGTAACAAAATGAGTATTTATGTTTTGTCTGTGAACCTGTTTGACGCTTGTCAAAAGAAAAGAAAAATATAAAAAATATATATGTCATTAACTGAAAGTGCGTGTATTAATAGGTTATGGGCTAATATCCTGATTTTCTTAAGTAATTCTTGTTTACGGTTTAAGAACAACGCTGAACTTTCGTGAATAATGGCTATGAATTATTTACAAAGTGTTCCCAAACTGAAGGGAAGGGAAAATTATGATGAGTGGAGTTTCGCAGCAGAGAACTTGTTAGTGCTGGAAGGTATGATTCAATACATCAAACCAGCTGTGTCCGGCACGGATATCAAGTCTGCAGATGACGAAAGGACTAAGGCAAAGCTAATTTTAACCATTGATTCAGGACTGTATGTTCATATCAAGGAAACAAAAACCTCGTGGGAACTATGGACAAAATTGAAAAACATGTTCGCCGACTCCGGTTTTTCAAGAAAAATCTCTTTGCTGCGACATCTTATATCAATCAGGCAAGAAAGCTGTGATTCTATGACTCATTATGTCACGCAAGTTGTCGAGACAGCACAAAGATTAAAAGGTACCGGATTCGCTATAACAGATGAATGGATTGGTTCGCTATTATTAGCAGGGTTGCCAGAAAAGTATTCGCCAATGATCATGGCGATAGAACATTCGGGAATACAGATTACTACAGACTCAATAAAATCAAAACTTATTGATTTGGAAGTTTCTTTGAATTTGGAAAACGGTGGCGCTGCATTCGCTGCAAACAAAATGTACTCGAAGACACAGAACAATTCGAAAAAAAGTGGCTGTCAACAACAAGCAACAAAAATGGCTTCAAAACAGCAGTCAAACAAAGTGGTTTCGTGTTACAAATGTAAAGAAATTGGACATTTTAGAAATCAATGTCCGTTACTGCAGAAAAATAAAGATACGAATGCGTTTAGTGTAGTATTTCTGAATGGAAAGTATAATAAGAGCGAGTGGTACGTAGACTCCGGTGCAAGTGCGCACATGACATCTAATGAAAATTGGATAGAAAACGCAAATCTTACGCCACATTTAACAGAAATTACGGTAGCCGACAGTACAAAGATACCCGTAATTTGCTCCGGGGACGTGAAAATAACTACAGATCGCAACTACAACATTACGGTGAAGAATGTCTTGTGTATTCCGAAATTGTCAACAAATCTGTTATCAGTGAGTGAGCTCATCAAAAACGGAAACAAAGTTGTGTTTGAGAGTAACAATTGCTACATTCGTAATATGAAGAATGAATTGGTAGCCACGGCACATTTGACTAATGGTGTTTACAAGTTAAATATAAAAACAGATTGTATGTTAGCCGCACCAGCATTGGTAAGTGCAGATTTATGGCACAAGCGCTTGGCACATATCAATAGTAGCGATTTGAATAAAATGAGAAATGGCATCGTAGAAGGTGTGAACTTTGCTTCTCCAAGTGACTTAAAGAAGGAGAACCGCGTAACATGTTGCGAAGGCAAACAAACAAGGCTGCCATTTGCACATAGTGAACATACCAGCTCGGAGACACTTCAAATAGTCCATGCAGATGTTTGTGGGGCTATGGAGACCAAGTCTATAAATGGTTCACGATATTTTCTGCTCTTTGTGGATGACTATAGCAAGATGACATTCATTTATTTTCTCAAACACAAATATGAAGTTTTTCAGAAATTTAAGGAATTTAAAGCTATGGTAGAGAACCAGCAGAATAAGAAGATTAAAGTATTGCGTACTGACAATGGAGGCGAATTTTGCAATCGTGTAATGGACAACTATTTGGCAAATGAAGGGATAATTCATCAAAAGACTATTGCATATACCCCAGAACAGAATGGTGTTTGTGAAAGAGCCAACAGAACTGTGATTGAAAAGGGACGATGTTTGTTATTTGAAGCAAAACTTGATAAGAAATTTTGGGCAGAAGCTGTGAATACTGCAGTTTACCTGAAAAATAGATCTGTTACATCTAGTTTAGTTAACAAAACACCCTATGAAATGTGGCACCAAAGAAAACCTGACTTAAGTCACATACGTCTATTTGGAAGCCCAGTTATGGTACATGTTCCCAAAGAACAAAGATTGAAATGGGATAAGAAAGCAGAAAAGTTCATACTTGTTGGATTCTCTGAAAATGTAAAGGGATATCGTGTCTATGATCCGAAGAGAAATGTTGTCACATTGAAAAATAATAGTGATGGAAGAAAAACAAGGTATAGAAACTACAGAAGAAACCGCTATATGGCCACAATGTGAAGAAAAGAACTTGAGTCTAAGAGAGGAGACTGAAACAACACAAACCATGCAACAATCTAGCATAGAGAGCAGAGATTCAGTGGGGGATATTAACATAAATGAATCTCTGACTAGTCAAAGTTCTGACACATCAGCTTATATGGACCCAGAGGAGACTTGTGTTGACACATCAACTGATTCTGTTACATCAACAGATATTTCACAAGGTGAGATTCAAGATCTTGGAATTGATGAAATAGTTGAAAGTAAGAGAGAAAGAAGACCTCCAAACCGCTATGGTTATACAAACTTGTGTACTTCAAGTAACTTGCCTGGAACCGCGGAGATTGACTTTTCAGAAGCGCTGAATGGACCTGAACCTGAAAACTGGAAGCTGGCCATGCGTGAAGAGTTGCAGTCATTCGAGTACAACGATGCATGGGAGCTCGTTGATATACCAAGTGACACTAACATAGTGCAATGCAAGTGGGTTTTCAATAAGAAATTAGATGTTAATGATAAAGTAAGATATAGGGCTAGACTCGTAGCTAAAGGTTTCTCACAACAACGTGGCATTCATTACGTAGACACATTTGCTCCTGTAGTGAAACATTCAACCCTTAGAATGTTATTTGCTCTAAGTGTGCAGTGGGATATGGATATTTCACATTTAGATGTGACCACGGCATTTCTTAATGGTCACTTAAATGAGAATATTTTTATGTATCTTCCTGTGGGTTTTGAATGCAAAGAGAAAGGGAAAGTTTTAAAACTTAAGAAAGCTATATATGGTTTGAAACAATCTTCTTTAATGTGGTATAAGAGAGTCAAAGATTGTTTATGTGAGTTGGGTTTTAAAATGAGTTCTAATGAACCATGTTTATTTACAAAATTTTGTAACAACATAAAAATGATTGTAGCTGTTTATGTTGATGACTTTCTGATATTTTCGACCTGTAAAAAAGCTACTGATAATTTGAAGGCTACATTAAGCTCAAAGTTTAGAATAAAAGATCTAGGCTGTGTAAAACGCTATTTAGGCATGAGAGTGAATGTAGACAGAAAGTCAAGTACTGTAACAATAGACCAAGAACAGTATATTGAACAGTTGTTGCTTAAATTTGGAATGTATAATTGTAAACCCATGGATACTCCGATTGTAAGTAAAATGAATCTTGAAAAGGCTGAAAAATGTATAACAGAGATTCCTTATCAAAGACTTATAGGTAGTCTTATGTATTTAGCTGTCTTGACTCGACCTGACATAGCATATACTGTAAGTTATCTAAGTCAATTTAATAATTGCTATAATGAAACTCACTACAGTCAAGCTAAAAGAGTGTTGAAGTATTTACAGAAA